ATTCATTGACAAAATATTGTTAAAATATAAACAAATAAAAGCAGAATGACTTTGCCTGTTTTAATGTAAGATTGGATGGTTAAATAGTTTAGGAACATATTCTGCTGTACATTGTTATTACCATTTTATGTATTCAGTACAGAGCTTCACAACACAGCTCACACTCAAAGTGATCACCCTGTTTTCAGCCTCCGCAGTGCTGGGATTATGGGCGGGCGTCAGCATGCCTGGACTTGCTTTCCAGCTCACCACGTCCCGGGGGCGGGGCCGGCCTGGCACGGTGTGTGGGACCAGGGATCGAACCCCGGTCCCTGTGCTTGCCTAAGCAGACACTTAGTTCACTGAGCTATCTCACCGGCCCTTATACCTTATATTTTTCATATAACAAATTTTTAAAAATATTTTCATCTTTAAAGATGTAAAGGTTGGTGATACTCAGATGTTTTGGGATAAAACTTATAAATTCTTCTTTTTCTCAGGTGGCTCTACAAAGGAAGAAAAATTCAAGAGAATTACTACTGACTGACTTTTTAATAAAGTTATTGTTTTGTTTTTAATTTGATGCAGGGTCTCGCTACACAGTTCCAATTAGTAGTGATCCTCCTGTCTCAGCCTTCCCAGCTCTGGGATTACATACTCGAGCCACCATGCTGGTTTGCTGGCCGGCACAGCATGTGGTCCTGGGGATCGAATGCAGATCCTTGAGCTTGCCAGGCCGGGGCTTAGACCGCCGAGCCATCTCCTCAGCCCGTAAACTGGCTTTTTTAAAACTGGAACTTTAAGATAAAAATCGCAATAATTATAAGTACTACTTAGCCATACTTTAGTTTGGGGAATAAATGTTTTCAAATAAAATGTTTTTTAAGACTAATTTAAACATATCAATTCTCTACTTCCCTTCTGAGCTACTCTTTAGCTCTTGCCCATGCTGATGCTGCATGTACCTGCAAGGCAGAAAATGCACAGTATTTGTTTAAATTATTCCAATTTTGAGATTTCCACTAAGAATGTCTCAGCATAGCTCATATTACTTTGAAAAAAAGAAAGAGAAGTAGATAAATGATCCATTAATTCTCATCGTTGATCTCAGATTTTTTTTTTTTTTCATTAAACATGAAAGAGATAGATGTAGAGGCTGGGGTTCAGTTCCCGGTATGCAGTACCGGCCCCATCCCCGCGGCACGCTGACACTGAGATTGAGATTGAACACGGTGGTGCATGCCTGTAATTCCAGCTCTTGGGAGACTGAAATCAGAAAAATCACTACAAGTCCGATCTGTGTAGTGAGATTCTGTACTTAATACACAGAGAGAGAGAGGGAGAGCGAGAGCGAGAGCGAGAGCGAGAGCGAGAGCGAGCGAGCGAGCGAGCGAGAGAGAGAGAGAGAGAGAGAACTGACTGTAGTGACAAAAGTCTGTAATCTCAGGACATAAGAGGCTGGGGCTGCAGGATTGCTGGGAGTTTAAGGCAAGCCTGGGCTCTAGTCAGTTCAAGGCCAACCTCAACTATACAGTGAGATCTTGTATTAAAAGCAAAACAAAAACCAAAAAGTAAGTTGAGAGAGTACACTAATTTAAAGAAATTATTTGATCTTCATATTATTCCAGTAAAGAAAACATTGGGTACAATGGTTCTCCCATTGACCTTTAAAAAATTAAAACAACAATTTTACCTGCCAACAATGAAATTATTTGTTCTTCATATAATCCCATTAAATAAAATTATTAGGTACAGTTGTTCATACACTGATCTTTAAATAAAAAACAGAATATTGTTGCTTGCCAAAATTGATGAAAACGAAATATAAATTTCTGAACTCTGAATACTGATGCTTTTTGAATTGGATACTTTGTAGAATATTTTGCTATTATTTCATCAACAGAGAATGAAAATTAAAGATGAAAAATTAGAAACATAGTTAAGAAAAAAATGAAATTAGTTTTATTATCTTAACATCTCAGAGTTTAAAACGCTGCTTGGATAAATGCAGACTG